ATTGAGCTGGTATCTTATAAATTGCTTTGCAGAGTGAAAGCGTACCTCACATCAATGAGTCTTCACCACAATTCTTGATAAAAATATCGGAGGAAGGAAAAAGGAGCGAAAAAAACACCCGATTTCGAGAAATCGAACACATCCACAGTAATAAGCTGCAATAAATTACAAAAGTAAGGCGAAATCATATGTTCGGGAAGCTTTTTAAGGGTGATAATGCTCATCCCATCGAAGAATGTGCACGGTTCCAAGTAAAAAAGGATAGGGAAAGTAGAATGGATAAAATGCTAGTAGAAAAATGCAAATTGAATAAATTTACTGAATGAAAATTAAAGGGATTAAAATTTATCAATAAACTAGTCCTTTAAAGGCCAAGCTGTGTACAATAAAATGAGGGGAAAAGATGTAAATATTTAAAAATTTTCAGAACCTAGCGCTAAAAAAGCTGCGGAGAAAAATGCGCCAGAAATTACGGTAACCCTCTTCGTACTTTCACATCAAACATTCAGCGTTGCACTTGTGATGTATTTTTTAAAATATTGTTTCCAGTTCTCAGATCGTAATTTTCCTCAAAAGAAAAATTAGACTTATCTTAATTCGCCTGAACAATAACAGTATCTAAAAGCGATAGCTGAAGAATTTTTTCTTTATTATATAATAACAAAATCCATGATACCATGATGTATATACTTGAATTCATTGAGTTCATTATCTCTTCTCCTTTTACTTCTTTGTACGAAGTAAAGTATTATAATCTCGAAAAATTTCGGGTTTCAGATTTCAGCACATGTATTCATTTTGACCGTTCTCAAATCCATTTTGACTATTTTTTTCATAGCGTTTGTACGTACGAGCAAAATGCAGGACTCTTTATTCTAAGACAATGGATTCAAAATGGTCTTTAACTTCCTAGTACGAAGTAAAGGAAATATTGTAATTTCGAAACATTCCAGACATAAGTAATGACTCATATTGAAACAGAAATATCCATTCTGACCGCTCCCAAATCCATTTTGACTAGTTTTTGTAAGACTTCTCTATATAAGGACAGAATAAAAGACTTTGTCTTTCCAAAACGGTTTTCAAAATGTATTTATTTAAAGTGGATTCGAAAGATATTTTATCGGAATGTCTGTACGTAACTATGTATGTATCTCGCATAACTTAAGCACAATTAGCCGCAGAACGTTGAAATTTTGTATTTGGGACTGCTATAACATTCTGTTGTGCATCTCTCTTTTTTATTTTTTTATTTTCAATCAGCAGAACCAAACGTATACGTATATACAGCCACCCTCCCCCTTTATTTTCGATGAGCTTTATTTTCGCAATCGTTGTTCGTAGTTGTTGAAACGACGAAAATATCCATTTTTTGACAATGTGACAATTTTTTAATAATTTAATTTTTAATGTAGTCTCCCGTTTCCGATACTTATGATTTGGGACATTTTATACATATTATGAAAGAGTAAATTTACGAGAAGTTTGACTCCCAAACGACAAAATTTGACCAGGCTGTTTGATTTTGGGTGTCGTTTTCAACTTGCCTTGAGAGATCGGTTTATAAAATTCGAATAATTCAAGGAAATAAGTTTAAGTAAAGAGTAAAGTTTAAATAAATAGTTTATAATTGGTCATACGGAAGAAGTCGTGATGCTTCCTCAGATTTTTTCGTGACGTCTGCATGTATGTATGTACGTATATATCTCGTATAACTCAAAACGACTAGCCGTAGAGCGTTGAAATATTGGTATATGAAACTGGTATTTAGTTGTGCGTTCGTCAGTACCAAATTTATATATATGTACACTCTTGTGCGAAGTGCACCTTATTTCGAATTTTATAAGCACTGATGTATATATTTTAATTAAATTTTGTATAAAATACATTTATAGCAGAGAAAGAGGTATATCATTCAAAAATAATTTTATGTACGCATGATTATCACTAAACTCACAGTGCAGGGAATGTCGAAAATCCACGTTGTGATATCGTACTGAAAATGAGTCTAAAATGGAGTATTGTCCCTTCTCACAGCCAGACAGGTCACACAACGTGACAGCATACTGAACAGGAGGCAATTCCTGGTGGCAGACGATCTCACTCCTGCAGTAAGGTAGTTTTCGAATCGCAGATTTTTCTTGGAGCGGGAGAGAGAGATCCCCTGAAAAGTCGAACTAAGACTCTAAGATCTCCTATCTATACCTCATATCTCTATACCTATATCTATACCTCTACATCTGTCAAGGAGCCCTAGTCAAACACATACAGGGATGTGCAGCCATCCAATATAATGCCTGCCCAAATCAGTACACTTCCACCACTGTAATGATCCTATTTTCTTATAAGGGAGGGATGGTATCGTGCTCGCGTCCTTCTCCAGATACAGGTAGGTGAATGATCAGAGTCCAGGCTAAAGCTCCACTCTTCTGTAAAACTCACGGTTTTATATTGAGCTTTGTAGCCCCCTGCCCTTGTGATTGGTCTACTTCTACTCTACCAATATTTCCTGATCTCATACAGTCATTCATACATTCTTGGTTACCCATTTTATTTGATACCTTTTAAAATTTACCCAATTTTTTCGAGAAAGACGACAAATGTCGTGAAAGCGTATGAGCTTATAAATCGCCGAAAATCTCTCATGCAGTCATGTTCCCTTCATAATCACCAGTTCCGCAGACATGCTCATACGCCTACTGGAGTTTACAAAACATCATGGTAAGTAAAGACTTATCATAATAAAAAAAAATACTGTTAGGCGGTTGCAGGTTCTTAATGGATTGAATATATACAGAACCAATGACAGCTTGATGAAATTTTATTTTTCAAAAAACAGTTCCAAATAAAAGTTCTTGAACTCTTTGCAGAAAAGTAGTCGTATAGCTCTCTCAGTATCACAGAGCGCAATAATAAATTATGAATCCAGTTTACTAAGAACGTTGAAAATAAGACAATAAAAATATCTCAAGTGCATAAATTCGCACAGTGATCTCTCAATACACTGAGCTAAACTCTCAGCTGCACTGGAAAGTGATGCTCTCGCCGCTCTTATATAGTTTATCCCTGTCCGTCGAGAAATTTACAATGCCTTCTAGTTCTCAGAATTTCTAGAAGTCGTTAGGCCATAAATGTGTACACCATACATTGAAAGGCATACAAACGGCCAGCTACAGTTACATAGAAATCGGGCCAGCTACAATTACTAGGAATTGTACCAAAATGTCCCCAAATGCTCAAAATAAAGTTTGGCGACTATTTTCGATTTCTCGTCAAATTTGGCGACGAATGCCAAAACCATCGCCAGATAGGACCTATCTCGCCTACCTCAATGTGAAATGTACCCATTAACATTATTTAAGTCCTCTCTAACCTATGTTTTCGGCCATGTTTCGCACCCTGAGACTTTTCATGTTAAATTATATAGAAGACACTACAATTTACATATAATTTCACTAAAATTATTCACATATATACAAAATTCCTAACAATATTCGAAAATTAAATTCGGAAAAAAAAAAGAAAAAAAAAAAAAAAAACTAATAGTGTTAAGCATGTAGGTGGAGTTATAATGGCTTCGGTATGTTTTCTCTGCCTGTGGGGTGCGCGCCGAAAACGTTGCGGAGAAAACAACGCAAGGCGAAAACATCGTGGAACAAACATCGTCTGAGTAAATAAAGAAAAGAGAAAATATCGAGTTCTAAAACATCGCGGTACAAAATATCGTCGTCGAATACAAATTGGTTAAAAAAAATTCGTGGTTTAAAACCATCGCCGTTAAAAATATCGTGGTAAAAAAATAAAATTATGGCATGCCGATAACATCGCAGACATGCGTTTTTCAGGCTTTAATAATTGTAAAAGGATACTCGCATAACGACTTCTCAGCGCAAGATAGAAAGAAGGATAATTTTTACTTTCATATTTTTTATTAACTAATAAATATTTGTTGAAAATATAAAATGGAAACTTAAGCATAGAAAACTGATGCAACTTATAGCACTTAATAGAATTTTAAACTGACATAGTTAACTAACAAAGGTCATTAATTAATTATTTTTTTATAAAATTGTACTGGTAAATTTTTATGAAAAGTATAATCTAAAAAAGAATAGAAAAAGGAAGTTAAGTAACTGCATGACTTTATCCATAAAAAAATTGATAATTAAGAGATTATTTTCTTCACTTTTGTTAATGTGATACTCTTATAATGAAAATTATTTCTTGTTTTGTTTAAATTTCATGTTTTGTTTTTTAAAAATTCAGTAGTTAATAAAAAATATGAAAGTAAAAATTATCCTTCTTTCCATCTTGCGCTCACAGATCATTATGCGAATATCCATATACAATTATCCATTTACAATTAAATGGACTTAAATAATGTTAATGGATAGTTAACATTTTTTAAGTCCTCTCTAACCTATTTTTTCGGCCATTTTTCGCCCCCTGAGGCTTTTCATGTTAAATTACATAGAAGATACTACAATTTACGTATAGTTTCATTAAAATTATTCACATATTTTAAATTTTTTAAATTATTTTTAGATATTCAGCGATTTTTCAAAAACAAAACGCGAAAATTAGAAATTACTTTCAAATCTTTCATCAATTTCATTTGAAGAAACTTTCCCCGAGCACACATACTGTGTTATCATCCATAAACAGTTATGTGCACTTTTTTCACTAATTCAGGGTTTTAAAGATATTGTTATTCTCAATTATATACTTTAGATCAACTTGAGATCAACGTCTTGAAATTTTACTTTTCCCCTGGGTTATCTCTGTGGATGATTTCTGCTAATATATCATATTAAACTTTAAAAGAGCTATTTTGGGCTGTTGTTAAACTATTAAACCTTTCAGATTTTTTTCTTTAATTCTTTGTTCTTATTATTTTTATCATCAATGCTAGTGACAACATTGTTGTGATGTTTCACTATTCTAATAATAAGCAACAATGGCGTTATCATTTTTTTCTTATTACCTCATTATTTTTGTAGGTCATCTGTGTTCCCGACGATGGTGAGCTACGAGTATCCTTGAATGAAACCCTCATTCTCTTCTCCAGGCAATTGGAAGATCTGCCACCTCACTGCCAGTATGGACAGGTAAGAAATTTAATTAACTCCTTCACACTGTGGAGATTCATTTAATTTAGTAACAATTAATTTTTATTTTAAAGCAATTTTTCTTTGATCTTCATTTTCCCCCACGCTTTCTTGCCAGAATATTAATAATGTAGCACGCGTGTATTCAAATGAGGTAGAAAGAAGTAGTATTTAAGGGAAGGTTTTGGAAGGTGATTTTAGAGCGTGTTATGCTTGTTTGAAGGCCATGTTGAATTACTTGAATTACTAGCGACTAGATTTCTTTGGCGTTGAGAACTTCTAGCCCTTACGCTTATTTACGCCGATTTCCACGAGGCGGAGCCTTTTTTCGAGTTAAATTATCCTATGAGCCGTTATGCTAAAATTACTACACTTTATTTTAAGTTCATTTTATCCGCTTTGAGTTAAGCTAGAAGTGTTGGCTTTGTATACTCTGCCCCAGTAGGGTCATCTGTGAAATGTCATTGAGAGAATAAAGGGCTCTTTGCATCCTTCTGAGTTTTGTCTTAACTCTGACCTGAGGATATTCCTTACACAGCCTTTTAGGTCTTGTTAGTTTATGAATTTGGTTAGTCAGTTAGTCTCGTTAAAGGGCCCACTATGTCCTATATGTGAGCTGCTTTTCGGAGACTTGAAGCCTGTGATCGCACCGATGTGATTTCAAATCGCAACGTTTCATTCAAATTTTTAAACGGCACTAGATGGCAGTTGAAGTCTGTTATATTTTCGAATTATGCTCAACTAAGCTTTGACAATCAATATGCACTTCCGGTTCAGATTCTTATTTTTTCTTTTTGTTAGATCAGAAGAGTTTGAACATGTAAACAACTGAAAAAAAAAAAAAAAAAAGACTGCGGTTTGTTTATGTTTTTACGAAGAAACCAAGAATACAATGTTTCTCAAAATTAAAAACAAGCAATTTACCTTGTTATGAATAATAAACTTGTAATATAGGGCTTTGTCACGGACAATGTATCATAAGCTTCAAAATTTTAGATAGGCTTCTGCTTAATGCCTCTCTTTTTAACGCAAAGCTATTAAAAATACAAAATTTTTAAATAAGCATGATTAGAGTGTCAAATAAACTGTGACCGCAAGTGACAGTTGAAATAAAAATAATGCGCTGTTTTTGCAATTCAGCCGCCCAGATAGTATAGTGGTTAGGGGAGCTTGACTGCGATACCAAAGGGCCCAGGTTCGAATCCCGAAGATGGCGTGGATGTAAAATTGTCTGCCCCTTCAGAGGAGTTAATGGTAACCGCCTATTAAGTGCCTCCAGAATAAAATGGCCACCACTTTTGGCCCAAGGAGTGGTCAATGCCATTATAGGCAAGTGCCCACCAGTGGCAAAAAAAATTAGCAAATTTTCCTTAGCAGGCAAAATAGCAGACGCTTTGGAAGTTACGCTCTGGGTAAACTCTAACTCACAGTTCAGCTCATCGCTAAATATCATAGCTGTTTCGTAACTGATTCACAACTCAACTTCTTAGCTCTCCGGCCCGTATCTCCCTGCAGCAGACGCTCTGAAAATTTCTAAAAGAATCTGCCGCAGAGCTTCGAAAAGGCAATTTTCGTAAATTTTTCAAAAGGTCTCCAATTTGGCGAGAAATCGGCAAATCACCAACTTGGCGACAAAAATTGTCGCGAAGATTTTTTTTCGTACGAAGTTACTTATATCTCGAGTTGAGCTATTTGTAAAATTCCAAAACCGTTGCATTATGAATAAAAGATCTACAATTCTGTGCAAAGAATAAACACTTAAGCTAACAAGACATGTTAACCACAAATTGCGTTAAACGCAAAATAAACAATAAAATTATAATTTCAAAAACAATAAATCAATAAATAAAAATATATAAAATACTACTACAATACAGAAGCAGAAAAGTACAATGAGAAGTATTAAAATGTTTGCAAATATCTAAATCATATAAATTTTAGAAATTTCAAATTAAGATATTAAATTAATAAAGTCCGGCAATATGCTTCAAAAGTAACTCAATGACAATAATGAAGTCAAAAATCCATCCGCCCCAATGTTGAGAACATCCCAGGGGATGTTCGGTGGAAGGGTCTTCCGTCGTCTTTTTCTACCTCCAACCTCTCGAGAAGATATTCGTCTAGCGTGCATATTGAGCCCTTGCCGTAGAGAGACACTATACGCTTACAAACATTCATGCCCTCTTCGGGATTCGAACCCTGGCCTATCGGTAAGGCAGTCAGCGTCTTTACCGTATCAGCTGTCTTACCACCGTATCGGCTAGGCGACAGGATCAAGATAGGAACAATTGGCTAAAAGTGTTTTAAGCATTAACTCCTTTTTTAAAGTTTTTTCGCATATTGTGCTTATATCGTTCTCTTCTCGCATGGCTAGGTGAAGCATCCGATATGGAATCATTCATCTCAGCAATGAGTTTTACATTATGTAACCTAAAAGACAGTTTTCTTTTGATTGATGAATTCTTTCTTTTATTATTAGGCGCATCTTTTCCCTGCTGTGCTGACCCTGACAACAGTATCCTTATTTCTTCGATTGTCGTACATGCTCAAACTTGTGATCATGGTAACGGAGGTGGTTGGGTTCTCTCTCGCCTTCACAGTAGTCAGGCCTGACCTCTTCTCGGCCACCCTTGAAGAAGTAGACGGGTAAGTCACATCTATCCAAAATCTGTGATCGAGCGACCCAAAATCATCCAAGCTGGATGCTTACCTGCTTGCTTGGTATTGGATCATAACAACTTGTGAGAGTTTATTAATATTTACATTATTATAGCAAAATCTCTTTTAACCGGCAACTACGGGACGCGCTGATTCCTGATAAGAGTTTGTTTTGTTATCTTTTGATGATTCTCTACACCCAGGAATTGGCGATTGGGTCCCCTAAAAACCCCAGTTGTCCTTTAAAAGGGGGAGTATATAAGGTATTTCCCCCGCCTTCTTGGCATGCCTTCGTAGTGTGGTGGTCTGCACGCTGGGCTCGTATTCCAGAGGTCCGCGGTTCGATTCCCGGCGAAGGCGTTGCATTCTTTCCTGCTTCTCTAAAAATCCTAATGTCTCTACAAACTGAATATCCATTTCTAGAATTTACTCACTCATGTTTTGTGTTGTCTTCTGTAAAAATTGCGACATACGAATTCCGTCGGTCATGTTTTTGATCTATCGTCCAAAATAAATTTAAAAAGAAATCTGAAAGTTTTCAGATTTCATCAGTCGTCCAGAAGGGTTTGTTAAGGGTTTTTAGGATTTTACTGAGCTTGCAGTGTACCAGTCTGCTGTTGCATTCTTTCTTGCTAACCATTTTCGGGGGGCATGTGTATGTATGTGTCTTCTTCTTATTATTATTCACAAGCACAGCAACTCTTTACAGACCTTGGCTGCCTAAACCACGCACTCTTTCCAGCGTCTTCTATCTACAGCGACTGCTCTCCAATTTTTAAATTTTTAAAGTTTTAAGTCTTTTTCATTTTCATTTAATCATTTAGCTGGTCTTTCTTTAGCTCATGGTCCCTCGGTATTTTTTTAATGTCAAAAATCTTAGTGGAACTCTCTTGTACTCTTCTCCAAACATAGCCCACAAGTTGGATAAAGGGTGATACGCTGGACAGCAGAAACGTAGCGCAAATGTTTCCAGCATTTAAATCTTCAGATTTGCAGCCAGTTGCATACTTTTAGTACCTTATAAGTATAAACTTCGGATTTAAAAGTAGACTTTTATAAGTACCGTTATTTTGATATTGTCCGCTATTTGGTTGCTGGTGACGAATGATTTGATAAAATATTTGTTAGGGTATTAGATGAATGTGCATTTCGAGTAACATAAGAAAGTTCTGTATCTCCAATATATTCGAAAAATTAAAAAATATTCGAAGTAATTCTATAAAAATGTTTAATGTTTTATTACATATATAAGCATTTAAATGACTTATTATTTAGATTAAGTCAAATTTAAAAAAAAAGTAACTAATACTTTTGAGAAGTGCATCTACTCCTTTGTAGAGTCAAGGCTATTTTGAAGCAGGAGATATGAAAAATGAGCAATGCCCTCCCCTAGACTCGAATCTAGACCTTTCGAATACGCGCCGAGTGTGCTACCATTACATCATCCAGAGAAGCTGGAAGGAGGGAAATAATAAATTCCACTTTTAAAGGGTGACTTGGGATTAGGGGGCCCAGTCGTCAAATCTTGGTGGTGACTAAATATTGCCCACCCCTTTTTTAGTTCAGACGCCACTGAAAAAAAAATTCTAAATGACTGGCCAAGCTATTTAGAATTTTTTTTTTATGTCAGAACATTGAAAAAATGCGCAGTGCCCTAACAGAGACTCGAACCCGGACCTCTGGAATACGCGCCGAGTGTGCTACTGTTACACCACGAGGGCATGGCGAAAGGAGGAGGTAAATACCTTATAGCTTTTGAATAGTTTAGCATGATAATTATTAACAGATAGATTAATTATGAAAAAAAGATTATCTTATGTTTTTCCGAATGGCAACAGGCGCAAATGAAAAGAGTAACAAAGCAAAATCGTGTTTAGGAATTAATAGACCTTTTGGGATAATAAGATAAGGATAAAACGTTTTTTTTTTTTTTCCTAAAAGACCAATCAACTGTATAACTCAAATTCAAAATATTCACTGCGTTGTCTTTCCAAAATAAATTTCTGAATTCCCATCACAGTATCAAGCTTGAATACATCTGTGTCTGACAACTGCGTCAGATTTGAATGAAATTAAAAAAAAACTATTACGTTCTTTGCTTTAATATTCGCATACACCTCATATATAAATAATGCCATGGGATGTCCCAAGATTTGCTTATTGCGTCCTCATTCACCTAAACTGGTTATCACACCTGTTTAGTATAGTCTCTGTTTAGAACACGAAAAAAGTGGTATTGAACGTAAAGCAATGTAAAAATGTTTTTACAGATAGAATGTAGAATGTGGATCCTAACATCCTAAACGTAAATCACTTTAATTTTTAGTAATTCGTTTTTATTAAAGCTTCCAGAAACACTGAAAAAGTATGAAAAGTACAAAAATATTGTAATCGAAGATATCCGATTTTAATAGCTTTGGAAGCTGTTCGCTATAGCAATATGAAACGTGTTAAGTGTACAGAAAATTATAAGAGACCAAAAGGTTCATTCATTATATCAGAGTTTCATTATAAGCGGGTACATTGTAAAGAGTTCGACTGTATAAGCTTTCATTTAGTTCACTCATGGTGTTTCATTGGGATCGGCCTTTTGTCATCAATTTTTAACTTGCTTCCTGATAAGCCTTAGGGTTCAAATTTTGCAGTCTGGTTGTAGATGACAATGCAGTGTAATACAACACTTTGTTTCAAAATTTGATTTAAACTTTTTTTAATTTATTGTTTAAACAATTTTTCACATCTATCTTGTATTGATGAACAAACTAAATATCTCAGGAATTGATTGCTTACACCAACATATAGAAGGGAGAAAATTTTTAATGGTATTTGTATCAGGTTTTTAACATTATTTCTGATATTTTGGTAAATTTTCATAAATCGCTCAATTCTTTTTATTTTATTGTATGATTTTAAAATTTCCGCATCTAAAAATGCATGGGTTACAAATTTCTGAACTTATTGGACATTGTAAACTCTTCACTCTTTAAGACAAGAACCATTTAAAAAAATATTAATTGGGTGATTTTTCTGCCTTTTTTTATTTCTTTTTGACGAAGTAAAGGAAGTATTGTAATCACGAAAAATTCTAGGTACCATATTTCAACGAAAATATCCATTTTGACTGCTATCGAATGCAATTTAACGATGTTTTTGCATGACATCTGCATGTATGGACAGAATAAAAAACTCTTTTTTCCCCCCAAAAATTATAAAACTAATTTATAAATGGATTCAGAAAAGATTTTTTCGTGGTGTCTATACGTATGTTCGTGCGTATGTATGTATGTATCTAGAATAACTCAAAAACGAATAGCCTCAGAACGTTGAAATTTTATATAGGACAGATAGGATGTAGTTGTGCACCTACCATTTTAATGGCAATCGGCCGCATCAAAAGTAAATATATAGATAAATAGATATACTAGGCTCCGTGAGTTCAGTTTTCTTTATTCTTATATGTTGATATATTGTGCATTTTTTTGCTTTAACAATGGTTGAATTATGTTGTTCTTATCTTACGGTTAAAATTATAAAAATTTTAGTTAACCTGCATGCAATATTTGTAGAATTAACAACACTTTAAAAGTTGTTTAAGTGCGATAAGCCTAATTTTTTCTTACCATAGCAGCCATATTCGTTTAGATTTGAAACTTAGCAGAACAGTGGATTTGTTGCCAATCTAAAGAAACTAAGCTTCGTAACAGTAACTCTTTCTTTTTTATTTGTCTAATTTCTTTTATACATCATTTTAGATTTATTATAGTATTTGGATAGAACATGTGGCAACGATTAGATAATTCTTCAGATGATATAATTTTTGCGCATTCGGAGTTATTAAATAAATAAGATGTAACCCTGTTAAGTGAACCTAGCGCTAGAGTGTCGCTATCGTAAATAAATATAGTGAATTTTAAAAAGTGAATTTATTCTATTGTGGTTTATGCGCTATCGACGAAGTAGATTTAATTCAATTCCATAAGTTTAAATGAAATGCAGGAAAAAAATGCATGTGATATAATATTCCGTGCAAGGAAGTCATGTGGTCTACACATCAGATTTTTTTTTTAAATAAATATATTGCTATGTGATTCAGAATCGCTTCTCGCTTGAGCATTACTGGAAAATACACACTGCCCTCCAGAAGTTAAGGGACAGCATGTTTTTTGTGTTTAATTTGAAAATGAACAACGTAGAAACCAGAAATTTAGAGGATATGTTCAGTAAATAGTTCTTGAATGAATGCGAACGTTTAACACAAACATGAATTACAACAAAGTAGTGCACTCTTGGCAGAGAAATCCAGTTTTGGAGAAAGAGTATATTACAGTTTTTTGTGGAAACATGGGGTAGTAACACTACAAAAATGATTTCTAATAAGGAATGTGTCCACCCTAGCCACCCATTAGCGGCAGCGACGTTTCATGCTGTCAATTAAGCTGTCGGTCAATGAAATGGGAAACAACGACCAGACACAGAGTCATCCTTGTTCAAGCTCATCTAACGACCTTGGAGGAGGACTTAAAGCAGCAACCTGTCTCTCAAGGTAATCCAAAAGGTGGTCTATCGGATTCAGGTCCGGGGATTAAGCTGGACATTTCATCCGCTCGATATAGTGATCCTCAAGATATTCTTCAGCATATGAGCTCAGTGCGGTCGCGCTTGTCGTCCATCAGAAGAAATCCAGGACCAATAGCAGCGGCATATGAGAGCATATATTGATCAAGGATCTCGTCTCAGTATCTCACACCAATCAAAGTTCCTCCGTCGAACACATGCAGGTCAGTGTGACTTCCGAGAGATCCCAGCCCAAACCATTATTCCACTACCTCCGTAACTGTCTTTCCATAATATGGGCTTGTTTGTATCTGGTGCGTTGTTCCCTCTAGATCAGCTGACGACCTGAATCATTCTCCAGTGTTAACCAGGGCTCATCTTGTGAAGATGCCCATTGTTGACTAGTCCAGGAGACGTATTCTCTTGCCCAACGT